ATATTACTATATTGTTATTAATATACTAGCAATATATATAAATATATAAAAATTTTATAAAATAATTATTATATTTTTGTATTATAAAAATATAAACAAAATTTTTAATTCGTAAATAATATTTAATTCATACATGAGTCTATTATCATATCAAATCTAAATTATAGAGATCGTATCATGATTTTTTATGCGATCAAGACATTTCATGAGATATAAGACATGAGACATTTTCGATTATGTTCGTTTTTTGAGATGATGTAGTTCAATTTTTCATTATAACGTGGTTTTTTAATTAATATTTTTATATGTTATATAGAAATTAAAATAAAAATGTCAAATTCGCTTGTAAGAAAAGGACTTGAATTAATGGGTTGTGAAAAAAGCATAAAACAAGGTATAAGTTTTAATTTGTACAGGTTATAAATTTATATATCATGTGACAAAATTTTTATTTATAGAAAGAAAGAAAAGAAAATATATAAGGTATAAAGGTGCACTGGATTTAATCCCTCCAAAACACAGGATATTATCTAAAAATGATAAAACAGGTATCTATAATTTTTTAAATAAAATATATAATCAATTATTCATTTGTCTTATAAAACATAAATATTTTTAAAGATCTTGGTACAATTCTTGGACGATCAAGTAAAGTAACTGTCTATGAAACTCAAAAAAAATTAGCCGCACAAAAAGATTCTACAGATAAAAATATACAGAAACTCTTAATACTTAGTAATAATCGTATTGATCCAAATACAACAAATAAGGTACTCATATTTTTATAAATTTTAAATTATTTGAAAAATAAATTTTAATCAAAAAGTTTAATAACAGTTATTGGAGAGAGCCTTGAAAAAGAAATATATTCCAGAAGTAAAGAAACTTAAAGAACCTGAAACTACTGCATTTACTGAAGAAGATTTCAAAAAGTTTGAAAAAGAATATATGGATCAATAATAAGTAAATTGTATTTTTATATTTCCTAAATTATCTTAGTTAAACAAGATTATTTGAAAAAAATATTATTAAATTCAGTTAATAAATTTTATTTGGTATTATATCATGATATAATATTTGTCATAAATACATAAAAATATTTCCATATATTTTATCATAAAGTAATATTATATTTTTTTATATATTTATATTTAATCTATTATAAATATAAATAATCTATTATAATTTTTAATTATATAAAATGTTTAATAGTGATCGTAAGAAGGGTAAAATGATATTGATTGTGACTTGCATTTTATTTCTGTATTATACTATATGGATCATTGGCTTACCATTTATTGACGACAACAGAATACGATCATTTTTTGGTTCTTACAACATTGCATTAATGTTTCCTGCTATTTTGGGCTTATGTTTCATTGGAGGATTAATATTATTTACTATTTATCATGTTAAGCCATATTATTCAATTTATAAATCAAGTAAAACTCATGAATCATAATATTTATATAGATAGAATTTTATTTTATATTAATAATTTTTGTTATAAAACATTTACATTGTATGTTTTATTATTAATTAGATAGGGAAATTAATATGAGTTACGTAATATTATTCATAATACGTTAGTTTAAAATAACCTATTCTAAGATACAATATAAATAACACAAATGATATAAAATGTCTTCAAAAAAATGGTTTGTAATTGGTATTTCGGGTACAACATGTAGTGGAAAAACTTCTGTAACTACCCAACTTCATGAAAAGTTAAAAAACTCAATAGTGTTACACCAAGATAATTATTTCTTGCCGAAAGATGATCCACGGCATGTTTTGGTAAAAGAACTTAATCATTTTAATTGGGAATTAATAACTAGTATGGATATGGACAAAATGTATTCAGATATCTTACAATTAATCGAATCTTTTCCGAATGAAAATAATTCTTCCGAAATTATCAACAAAAATATATTAATATTAGATGGATTTTCGCTTTTTAAATGTAAGGTTATTTCAAATTTGTGTGATCGTAAATATTTCATAACGTTAAACAAAGAACAATGTTGGGAGAGAAGGAAAGAAAGAAAGTATGATCCACCAGATGTTCCTGGTTATTTTGAAAAAGTTGTATGGCCAGAATATTTAAAACACAAAGATGAATTAATGAAAGACAATGATTTGTATAATACAATAACATTCATTGATGGATCAAAAAATAAAAAAGAGATATTTGAAATAATTTTTAATGAAATAAAAAAATTATCATAAGATTTTAATTATTATTATTATATGTTAAAGAAAAAACTACAATAAATATATACCATAAATTAATTTTAAATATTTAACTATCATTTAACAAAAAATGATAATGTTATAAGTCAACTTCAAAAAGAAATATGTTATACTACATTCCAGAATATTTAGTATAAATTAAAATTTTAAATATTTTTGATAATAATTTAAATTATCTTTCTTAAATATTTTTTTTTTTAAGTTTGAGATAAAATAATTGTAATAATAAATCCTGTATAATAAATTTTGTATACAAATGGATAACTGATTTTTATTAAATTGAAAAACATAATAGTCTTATACTTACCTAATATAATAATGTATTGAGTATTTCTTATTTCTTTTTTCATAAATGATAAATAAACTTGTATTTGTTCACCTTTCATTTTGTAAGAAATATATATATGTGTGTATATATATATATATACACACACACACACACACACACACACATATTTCATTGTTATATTATTATCCATATTGATGAATTTTTATGGATTTCTATAGAAATGCCCATATATTAAGTTAAAAAATCAGACACGATGGTTTTTAAATGTACATGAAAATACACGTGTAAATACATGGGAGACATGTATTAAAAAATTCAAAATTTATGTACTTAACATTTGTTTAATGAGTATTGAATCATTTTAGCTTGATAACTTGGTTTTTTCATAATAATAAATATTAATATTTTTATAGAATACTTATAACAATATGCAAACTAGAAATTTTTGATGAAAATATTTTTGTAATACTTTTATATATGCAAAATCAATTAATTAAATTCATTTTCTTTTATATTCTTTTATATAGTTCCTACAAAATTTTTTTGTTGCCAGGCTAATGTTTGATATTTTCATGAATATACACGTGTATTTATTAAATAGGAATTTCTATAAAAAATTGTGATAATTTTGCACTAATGTATCACAATATTCTAACTACAACATGTACAATATTTTCTTTTTTGCATTGCATATAAAGCCTGCTTCAGATGTTAAATAATTATTAAGGAAATAATTTTTAATTTTGTTTCATATGCATAGTATATTTTGTACAAAAATTAATTGTATAAGGCTTAGAAAATAAAATATATTTGAATTGGTAACTCCTTCACAGACACACTTTATAACTTACAATATATCAATCAGCCTTCAGTTTTAGACAGATCCAGAAAGGGTACTTATATGATTTATTATAAAAAGGACATTTTATAATTTTTCATATCTTTTGTTACTTTTACTACTTCAATAGCTTATAATTCCATATAATGACAAATAGTAATATTTTTTTTTTGTTTTGTACAAAATAGATTATGTTTAGCCAAATTTCGGACATCCATCTTCATCCAAAACAGGCTTCTAAATGTTCAAGTCCTTGCTTTCAACAAGATTTGCTTCATTTTTTCTTTTTTTTTTAATAAAGGTAACGCACAACGACGTGTATATGTTACATGGAATAGTTGCTATGTTTAGATTGACCTTGCACATTTGTTACATTTGTTGGAGCAGGACCAGCTGTTTGATCATCTTGATCATTCTGTCCACAAGCTTTTCGAACATATTGAGGTGTAAGAACAACTTCTTCCTCCATTTCAAGAACTCGTTTATCCAATTCCATACATGCTGCCATTTCTTTTTCTAGTTTTGCCAACATTTGTGGCGAATTGTATTTTTCTGGATCATCATGAAATACTACCATACCATCTTTTTGATTGATTGTTGCAAAAATCTCACCATCTTCTATCTAAAATTATAAATATAAAATACTTTTATATAATATTTGAATATATATTATTATGTTATTAATAAATATTATTAATAAATTTACCATGTTTAATATATATTTTTCTGCATCAGCAGGTCCAGACAATTGAACTCTGCTAGCCACATCACTTAAGCTAAGAGTTAAAAAAGTTTTTGTCAACCTTTGTATGTTCTTTTTATATAAATAGCTCAGCACTTGTTTTACCAATCCCATATTATGGTCTCTTGTAAATAATTGTTGATACTTAGTAATAATATTTTGCACTTCTTCACAACTATTCATTTGATAAGCTGTAGCTAATTCTTGATATTGTTGACCTAATGGTTTCATGTACCTATTAACCACTTGACTTGTGTACCTAGGTAAATTTAAAACTTTTCCATGCAGTATTAAAGAGACCAAAATATATTTTTTGTAGGCCTCTAACATAATGTAACTAACTGCCATGGCAGGTGTTGTTACACATACTTCGAAAAAATATAATGCTCTGTCATAATTTTTTAATGCTGTATATATCATACCACCATAATAATAATAAAGTAAAAAGTATTTTGAATCAAATTGTCCTTCTTCTTGATTGATACCAGTAACATCTATATCAAGAAATTCAAGTGCTGGCTTAAAACACTTAGAAAGAAGACATAGTTGACAAAGATCTGCATGTATTGAAGTAAGCTGACTATCAAATAATTGTATTTTACGTATTGCACGGCATAAAAGTTCAATACCACGCAATGGTATTTGTAATTCAACCAATGTTTGGGTAAATAAATGACATAATTCCGCATCTGTAATAAAAATTATAAATAAAATAAAAATATTTTTATTATAGTTTTAATATTCATAAAAAAAAAGAAAATATAAATCTTACATATATCAGAAGCAAATCTAACTTGTTCTCCATTACAACCAATAATAAATTCCTGAACCTGACTAAATAGTGGTTTATAAGCATCAGCATTGTTTGCACCATTAGGATTAGGCAGTGAAAATTTTACACATAATACTGCCAAAATACCTAATGAATGTTCTTGCAAATTTAAGGTTTCCAAAACATTATCTAAGTGTTGTCCATTTTTTATTAGAACATCTGTACTTTTACTTATTATTTCGGATAGCTCCCTAAAGTTACCTGAAATATAAGATAATTAAATAATATATATGTTTAATAACTAATATAAAAATATTAATATAATAATAATAGTAATATAAAAATAGTAATTTTACTTGCAAAATATTGATTAAAGAGATACATATATTTTTTTTTATTAATGTCAAAATTTGAATAAGAAAATAATTCATATGACACTATGAGAAATAATTAGAATTTCATTATAAATAAGTTTAATGAAAATAAATTGAATTTATATATGATCTGAATAAAATTAGATTGAAGAATTATTGACTAACAGAATGAGAAAATAGTATGCATTCGAATTTTATTTTTTAAAAAACGATTATTTCAAAGTAATACAAAATGTTCTAATAATCCTTCAGGATAATTCTTAGAGGTTAGGTACGTGAGAATGTAAGGAAGATCTGAACATCTGTCGCACCTTGTTTTGAGAGTGTCCGCACATTATTTACAAATAGCTCCAATGCTGATGCCATTACTGCAAATAGTTTCTTCTCATCACCACCTTTAGTCGGTGGTGAACCGTATTTACAGAAATTATTTTCGTGAATAAACGATCACTTAAGATGACGTTTTGAAAGAGGCACCCGGAATGCTCTGAAGCATGTTACGAAAATAGCCGGTTGCATCGAACTCCCTCTTTTATGTTATGGATCACACAAAATTTGAATTGAAATATATTCAAATAAATATATTTTCTTTGCAAATTTAAGTTATCTTATATTAATTTTTTAATTGTATGTGTGAGAATCATTATAAATTGAAAATATATTTAATATATATATACATTATATGAAGTAAAATTTTATCTATTGCTTTAAAAATTATAATGTTATAATTAATCAATATGATTATTTTAAATACTGCATTACACTAATATTTGTAAAAGTATTAAAGTAAATATTTAAATATATATGTGTATTTTATTTTAAATACATATACTTATCTTATATAAATAAAAAAGAAATTTTATGTATTGTTAACTTAATTGATGGTTGCTAGGATATTAACGATTTCTAACAATTCTAAAAATAGAATAAAGTAAAGTGTTTTCACTATAATGTCTTTCAATTAAAATTCAATTGCATTTTCATTTTTTTTAATTCTTAAACAGGAAAAAAAGAATTAAATATTTTTTTATTATGTCAAATATAACATACAATGAACTCTGGAAAAGTGCACAAATTGCTTTGGAAGAACTTCTTCAAGTGGATACAAATTTGCAAAATGCTAAACCGCAAAAAGATCGTAAGAAAATTTATAATGCGATTTCAGAATTATATGTAAGATATATTATTATCTATAATAAATTAGAATTGTGTTACGATCAAATAATTCAACCACAAAAACGATTATTAATAAAAAAAGTATTAGTTTCATGTCTCGGAAGAATTTTAGAATTAAAACATGAATTAGTCGAGATAGATATTTCAGAATATAATTATTTTGATGATATTCTAATAAAATTAAATGTTACTCCACAAGAAATTGAAATTCAAATACCCAGATATTTTAAACGCGAACGTTTACAAGAAATTAAAGAAAAACGAAATTATATAGAAAATACTTTGAAAAATATGGGTATTTTGGATAAAACAATTATACCAAAAAAAATGACTGAATTGGAAGCAATAAGACTTATACAGGTAAAAATTTTTTAAATGAAATTTTTTTAATGAAATTTTTAAAATAAAGAACAAAAATTATCTTTCTATATTCTTATATAAGAAAATTATCTTGAAAATTATCAATATATAATAAAACGAAAATATTCGAACGCTTATATTTTGAACTATTTTTGACAAGTATATATATAACATAATTTAATTTCATATAAAATATTTTTATTACAAATTATCGAGGAAATACAAAGAACACTTGTCACAGAATTATTCAAAAACTTGAAATAATATAAGCGTATGAATTCTTTCATATATGTTATATATATTTATATATTATTTATATAAATATTAGGCTCATGAACGTGCTAGGCAAGATCGATTAAAATTTCAATTTATGAAAGAAATTTGTCAAATAAAAGATAAATCTGCAATTAAAGCAGAAACAGAGATAAAAAATGAGCCGAACGAAACAATAGCTGCAATAAAAATTCAAAAAATTTGGAAAGGATATCTAACTAGATTCAAAATTCGAAAAAGATGTCTCGAGGAAATGTTATTAAT